ACACTACTTAGTTATTAGTTACTACTACATAACCCATTAAAACGATTACATGGTGGCTAAAATTCTACTGAGCAGCTGGGCATGTAATCCTCCCGTTTTATTACCATCCCTTGAGTAACTAGCATACAGACGCCAATAGGTGGCAGTGAATAGCAGTGTACGTGCACACTAACAATAACAATTTGCAGCTGAGCCTTATTTGTTAGCCATAACAATATGTTTGAAGATAGCGAGATGCACTTCTTCCCATGAGAAACTCCTAACAAAATGTGGTGCCCAGAATCATACAAAGTACTCCAGGTCTCACCAGCGCAAAGAGAGAGGAATTAGGACTTCACACATCTATGATATAATGCTCCTTCTAATGCAGACCAGAACTGTGTTAGCTCTCCTAGCAGCTGTCTCATGCTGTTGGTTGTTATCAGTGACTGCATCCAAGTCCTTCTCCTATGTAATGCTTCCAAGTCATGAACACCCTCATCTTGTATACCTTACATTTCTCCTTGTTGAAGGATATATTGTTCCTCTCAGCCCAGTCTTTTGTCCTACTCAGATTAAATGCAATGCCATTTTGTCATCCTGGGCATTGACAGACTCCTCAGTGTTGTATCATCTGCAAATTTGATAAACAATCCATCAATCCAGCTCATTAATACAAATATTAAATAATACTAGCCAGAAGACAAATCCCTGCAAGACACCTCTAGTTCCTGCTGTCAAATTGGATGTAGAGCCATTAATGTTGACTCACTCAATGTGATTAGCAAGCCATTTGTGGATCCACCTTATGGTAGTTCTAAACACACACTAATAGCTTGTCAGTGAGAATATCATATGAAACCTTGTCGAAAGCTTTGCTGAAATCAGGATAGATAATATCCACAGCATTTCCTCTTTCCACTAAAATAGGTAACTTGTCAAAGAGGGAGATGAGATTAGTTTCACATTACCTATTTTTGACAAAGCTATGCTGACTCTTAGTCACATCACTGTCTTACAAATGGCTTGCTTTATTATCTCCTTTAGCAACTTTCCCAGAATGCTAAGCTTTCTGGGATCCTCTCCATCTGGAGTGAGCAGTGAGCCCACCACCTCCTTTGTCTTCCTCTTGTTCTTGATATATTTGGAAAAACCCTTCTTGTTGGACTCTCCCTCTCTTGCTAGCCTTAGCTCATTTTCTGCTTTTGCCATCCTAACCTCATTCCTACATTTCTGAGCTGAAGTTTTGTAGACATCCTTGGTGGTTATACCTGTTCATCCATTTCAAATAAGCACCCTTCTTTAGTCTCAGCTGTTCAAACACAGTCTTCTAGTTTTCTTCCTCACTCATACGTTTGAGACAATCCTTAACTTCTTTTCAAAAACTTTCAGTTCGCTATAACACTTTTGTCTATAAGGATTTTTCCCATGGCATCCTCCTTACCTAATAATCTTAGTTTATTAAAATTAACCTTTCTAAAATCCATGGTTTGTGTTTGACTATTTATTACTGTCGGACCTTCAAAGTAGGCCAGGTCAGGAAACAGATACAAAAAATATTAGAGCTCTAGTTTACTTTTTTTAAAATATGAATTTTATTATGTTTTCAGAAAATTTAAAATACAGAAAAATCATGAAAAAGAAAAAAAGAAAAAAACATAGAAAAGAAAGAGTAACTTCCGGCTTTCCTTGGGACAGGTATAGATGTAGAATATATTCGCCTCTTACTCTAATATCTAAAAGTTTACATAATAAAAAATAGTTTTTAATCTAATATTCAAGAAAATTCCTAAAATCATTCTGTTTCAATAATACATATGATTTGTACAAGATATTTCTATAAATATAACATCAATCATCAAATCCCAAAATCAAAATTGCATTTTTTTGAGTGTCAAGCAAAAAGTCTAAGAGTGGTTTCCAATTCTAACAAAGCTAGACAGTGCCCTCTCTTTGAGCAAAGTAGTCAGTTTCGCCATCTCTGCCAATTCCATTAATTTCAATATCCATTCTTCAGCTGTAGGTATTTTTAAATCCTTCCATTTTTGTGCATATAAAAGTCTCACCGCAGTTATCATATAAAGAAATAAATTTCCGTGTTGTCTTTCCATTTGTTTATCCATCATATCTAAGAGGAAAGTCTCTGGTTTCAACTGCAGGTCTAATTTCAAAATCTTTTGAATAAAGATAATATTCCAATATTTCTTAGCCTTTTCACAAGTCCACCATAAGTGATAGAATGTACCTTCACATTGATTACATTTCCAACAAACATTTGAAATTCCT